TCTCGAACGACAGAGCAACGAACCCAGGGCCTAGTGGTGGGGCGTTGCCTCTGTTTTCCTTATTGTTGTCAACGCTAGGTCTCAATGAAAGCCAGATTTTGACCAACCGAAACCTGCTGCCCTTTTTAATTTCTTAAGAATTTAGTGCGTAAGCTTGAAGTAGGTCCTTCGGAAAAAATACTTTTTAGACGCGCTTCAGAATTTGTTATAAATATTTTGGATAAAATCTCTCAATCACCGTGAAACAACTGCGTAATAATCACAACCTGCTGACAGATATTAAGTAGCATACAAATTCTGAGTGATTTACCACACTGTCAACACGGGTACGCGTGTTTCACCGATCTTGTGCCACCGCATAACGCAGAGACTAGGAATCTGGCTGATCGATGTTCCCCGACCCTTCCAATGGGCTCCCTGGCATATGAACTTCAGGTTCCATCCTGTCCCGAGCGTGTTGCTGCCAAGTAATCCCTCAGAAAGTTTGCAGAAAACCCCCTATAGAACTCAACTGCAAAATGAGCCTAATACAGAGCTGAGCGGAATAGCATTGCCGAAAAAGATGAGTGAGACTGAAATGACCATTCCTGGCGTACTAGCCATCGTCAGCCAGTCATGCCCAACCACGAATTGTGTGTGGGACTCGATCCCGCGACTCGGTGGTTAGAAGTTCAACGCCCCTAACACACGTGAGCAGTTAAGAAGCAAAACGTTTATGATACGACGCGGACATAGGAAACTAAAATGCATTTGAAAGTCCATAGTAGAACAGTAATGTAGACATCACATATTTTTAAAAAAACACATGTACCGCCTCTGACCGATCCCAATAAATGTTACCCGAGATTCTGAAATGCGGTGTTAATTAGGGAAGATTACTTAGATGGGGTTGTAACCTTGATTATCGTTTAGCATAATCTCAAGACATTTCAGTTATGCCAGATGCCGGTTTTTAAACGTACTCCTTTTTTGACCGCCCACAAAAACTGCGCCCGGTAAAAGTGGCTATTCAAGAAGTATCATTTTTACATTTATTTCCGACGTTATCATACAGTCAGATACATTTCATGAAAAGAGTGTGTATGTGTGTCTTAAAAATTATCTCATTTGCCAAATAACCTTGAGCCCAGTCCGCCGTTGCGTCTACGTTTTGGGTTTAGACTCTAGGAGCTGTGTACTTTCCTTGTCAGAAAAATCATGCATTCTTCTGTGTCATTAAGAAGACACTTTATATGGATTATAAAGTTGCGCAGTTGATGTGGACTGCACTTTAAACCTCATAGGAAGCATTGACAAACGAACTCATATTATGTAATTTGAATGATCATTTTACGGTCTGAAGACATTCCATAGTTACAAACTTTTAAAACCTAAGTATACGCTTTCTTTGAGTGCAGTATTTAAAGAACACGCGAATGGCAGCCAAATGAGTCTAGGAAAGGATATTTTTGCCTGTTTTGCACGGAATATATCTAAATTTTAGAACGCATCGGAATTACAAGGAAAAAGACCGTTCGTTTTAAGTAGACCTTTTGGTAAGATCGCAGTTGGTAGCCACGGATGGGGAAGCGGACGACGACTTTGACCCTAATCCTAACCTTAACCCTAGCCCTAACCTTGACCTTAAACGTTAACCGTTAACCCTAACGGCAACCTTAACCCTAACCGAAATCGTAAACGTAACCGTAGCCCTAAGACATAGCCCTAAATGTAAAACCTAAACGTAATACTGAAACCTAATCGTAAACTCAAACCCTAACCGTAACCCGAAAACCTAAGCCTAAAAGGCATAACCCTAACCCGAAAATCGGACACCATTAATCGGTACCCTAATACTAACCTCAAAGGTACAGCGGAAGCCAAATGGGTCAGATGTGATCATGTAGCCCCACAAAAAAGCTCCAGAAAACAAACCCCAACCACCATAAATACGGGGCCTGGCTACCAACTGCGATCTAGCCGACCTTTTTACCGAGTGCGGTTTTTGAAAAGGCCGAAAGTGATGCATTAACAGGCCGGCATCCTGGCGTGACTGGAATATTGCCAAATTTTGCCTCACGGTAATCAGTATTAAGTAACCACGCCTAATCACATAAGCCTTTCAGACTTTCGGCTAACACCACATAAGATTTATTGCTGGTTTTAGACCTAAATTGGGCAATTAGATACGATAAATTATTTTTGTTTAGACTGTCTGAAGGAAAGCAGGACACATGATGTTTTCCGGGGGAGTTTGATCAAAATATTATCGAATTCACTGTATAGTCAGCTGTCTGCAAGCGTCACCTTCAATTTTTTTTCTAAAACAGCCATCCTCCCCCTTCCCGATCAAAACCGATATATGAGCATGTTCGGTATGCCAGTTGGCGTACTGTAGCCAGACGAGCGGCTCTAAGTCAGGGCATAGCGTTTTCCCCTGTGAGACCGCGTCAGTCAGGCCTTTCTAATCCTTTAATGAGACAAGATTGATAGGCAGCACTCAGCAATCGCAGTAATCATTCAAGGGCTGCATTCAGAAGCTCGAATAATTAACCTCGCCCGCGTGTTCCCCTGCGAGAATGTCTCTTCATGAGCCTACCAGAGTTTATATACACCTCCGCCGCGTTAAAACCCTTACAAACGTGTACCAGACGGACTGGGTGCAGGCAGAGTAGCACTACTGGAAAAGACAAGGGTGACTGAAATAAGCAGAATAGAATTACCGGCAAAGATAAGGGAGACTGGAGTGGCCATTCCTGGCATGTTAGCTGTCGTCAGCCAGCAAATTGCGGCTCGATCCCGCTACCTGTTGGTTAGAAGTCTAGCGCCTCTAACCACAGAGTCACGGGCTCATTGTCCTGCCGTTTGCGACCGGGAATATACAATGGTAAAGGGGCACTCACTGATCGTTTGTACGGAACCCACTCGTCCCGTTGCGCCTTAGGGCTCTCTCTCGACTCCAACCAGCAGCCGCACAGCGGCGGCGGCGCACGATATAGGCAGAATGTTATTATTAATCGCAACCGGCAGGACAACGGGCCCTTGGCTCAGTGGTTAGAGGCGTTGAACTTCTAACCAACAGGTCGCGGGATCGAGCCCCAGGATTTCCTAAGTAATGCATCCAGAATCCGCCTGATGACTACCAGGCCCACGTAATTTAGAGGTGCTCTGAAAGTTCATACATAGGCTAATAAAACTGCGAATTGTTTTTTAACAGATTGGGACAGCCTTCCAGATTCATAACAAGCGCAGAAAAGGTACACAGTACTGCATTCAAAGGAAATACATAATCTTCCAGCGGAAGTTTAATACTGTCAACCTCCTGAAAATGTACCAACAGCCATTACTGACTGTTTCCGAGTTCTTGATAGACCGTGCGGTAGGATTTGCCGAAGCCTGCTATCGAAGTAGTGCCAGTTGTGGGCGGGGGTAGGGTGTGGGACCCCCAACTAACTTAAACTAGCCTGTCGACTGTGTCCTACGTAGAGGGGCTTTTTCCGAATAGGACGACAAGCAGGACGGAGAGCAAGTGCAATGCAAGAAAACGCAGAAAATAAATAAATTTCTGCTGAAAGTCTTACCGTACGCTGTCGCTTGGCGAAGGAAGTAAGCGCGATAATTTAGAAATAAGTTAAAAGCAATTCTCAAAAATAACGGCCTTTGAGTAGGTCGCCGCTGGCAAGTTCATATTTAGCCAGGAAAACAAGGAAATTCCAGCCAATGGGAACGGTAAATAATAGGTGGTGTTTACAGTCACAATGAATTTTAGTATAAATATTGGCGTTCCCAGCTACGTGGGGTCCTACACCCTACCGTTACCCAACTGTGTACATTGGGATATCGATTCGGACCTTTATTGGGTCAAGGAAAAGAGCGGATGACGACGCCACCCATTACTCCGCAGCATTACCCACTAAAGGAAGGACCTTTCATAGGCTTGTTCCTGGACATTTACATGACCTCCGGTGGAAATCGTCCATGCAGATCATAGTATTTAACTCGGAAAGGCGTCTGGCAATCCCTTTGTGACCTAGTCGTTTGTTTTATTTATGCGATTGCAAAATCCTACCTCCCCCATGAGGTTCTGATTGCCGACACGTTTACACACCCCACTGTCGCAGCGTATTATTAATCATGGTTCTGCGAATATTCCATTGTTACACCAGAAAAGTCTATTTGGCAGACACGTATTTTCGATAACTCGTCATCTGGCCAATAAAGTTACGCAGAAATGGAAAATATGAGAAGTTCACAGGGTTTATAAGTGACTCAGCGGCTATTAACACTCAGCGTTTCCACCCCACCCGCATGATAGGATCGGCGTGTTATGGTCATTGGGGCGGGGGGGGGGTATGGGTGGGGTGACATAGGCTGTAAATGATGTTTGGAAGTCAGACACACCAGGTTGGGGCGGCGTGCAATGACCAGTTGGGGACGTCGACGACCACAGAAGACAGACCACTTGTGTCAGCGTCTTATGTCAACGTAGCACAGGACTTTTAGGGACGTCGAAAATCAATGAGAAAAATCCATGCTACTTAAGTAGTCGTTTTTTTACCGAGTGTGGTTTTCGCCCGCAGCCGGAAGGAAGTTCTTTCGAAAGCCGGCATCCAGAGGTAACTGAAATATTATAGAGTTATGTTGCAGGCTGACTATTTTTACAACCCTACATAATTGGTCTTTTCGAAACGAAAACGCATTTCGGAATTTCGGTTGACATTTCATGAGTTATCCCACCTAGAGTTCATCGGACTTTGGTCCCCGGAGCACCCTTTTACGCAAATATTACATCCTGAAAAAAGGGGCGAGCCCGATCTGGTTTTAACCGCAAATACTTGTGCTGCCGAACAATTGGTCAGGAGCACTCTCTGAAGGAGCACAGATACACAGGATGGTGCATGCGCGATACTTGTTACTGCAGCCAATCAGAATGCGCGAACTGTGCAGGTGCACACATCCAGTCGCGCAGGCTGTGGCACCTTAGATGCCAGACTGCAGACTCCCACCAGACGGCATTCGGGATGTTCGCCGAGGACTTCATTGAAAGCAGCCTGTTTCAGAGCAGTGAGCAGAGGAGCCTGACCTGTGAACCCTATAGAGATTGGTCCGACACCTCAGCGGGTGCACATCAACGTCATCATCATCACCATCATACGCTCAACCTCTATGATCAGTGGGATGGATGTCTTGACAGAAACTTTCCAAGAACGACGACAGACGCCTTTCCCAGCCTTAAGTCGCGAAAAAGAGCTCAAAACCAGCGAACTCAGCAGAGTAAGCTGCATGCTTTGATTCTAACCATCCCTATCTCCCTCTCTCTGGGGATATACTGGAATTTGTAGATAGTTTTGTTTTAGTCGGCAAAACCGACGACAATCTTGAGGGCGGCTCGTACTTTTGTATCGAACAGTATTTCGTATGATGTCTGGTTCCTTTTTTGTTGCGGTATCAGCACGCGTGGGGCTCGCACACGACGGTCAAATTCATGGTCAGCCCCCGTAAACATACAGATCTTCGGTCGGCTTGATCTATTCACGTCCCAGGGAAATGACAGAAGTGGGACGAGACAGTGAGAGTCTAGGTTGCAGAGGTCCACTATCATCCTAGTTCAACTAATGGTAGCAAAATCCGTTTGGCCCTTACCCTGGTGAAGCAGACTTTATGGTCATATGCGGATTCGCGATGCATCACTGGCAAGGATATAGGAAAGTGGAACGGTTCTTTCTGGTCTACAATGCTGCCGTCAACTAATCATATCCTAGGCCCACGACGTAAGGTTTCTTGGTCGTGCGCGGGTTCAGAGCATTCGAACTCGTAATGGAGACTTCGAGGCTGCTAGCCAGCAGGAAGTTTCGCTTGCTCAACGAAAGCGTCACAAGGCAGCTGTGGCAAAAACTCCGTCCGGAACACCTCTTACCCGTTGGTCATCAGGCGCTAGAGCTGAATGCGTTGACGTTCGAACCTCTGGCTCACGTCCTGTGCGGATATGTTTGAATTCACCTATCTACCCAGTTGGAAGACAGAATATCGATGATTGCATTTTGCGCTTTCCCCCCGCTCGAGATCCCTCACGGGCGGTCGCATTGCAACGAGCAGCCAGTAAACGAGACGTGTTGTTGACAAAGGCTCGTACAGGAGGCCATCGTCAACAGCGGCAGCAGCAGAAGCAGTAGAACAAGTGACATTCGTAAGCATCATTACCAAATCAACGAAAAATGCTATTGGTCTGTAGGTGACTGCGCAGGGCCCTGTATGCGGGTGGCAGATCCATGTATACACTGGTTGAGTTCTCATCCGAACTCAAGCATCACTTACCGGCTTATCTTGTTTCACGCATGGGCATTTTTATTGGCAGTTACGAATTTTAATTTGTCACCAGTTTTAAAGTTGAGGGCAGCCACTTATGACAATTCCTCAAGAGACACCGGGTTGATCATTTCTGACATATTGACCATTGCGAGCAGCCGGCCACAGTGAGGCCTTGGCGGGGTCGATTTAAGGCCTAAAACAGGTCATTTAGCCAACAGGCAGGTGAGTTAAAAACTTTGCCATTTGGTCACGGGATCATAGATTACCGACTGACACGGCTCTGGGTTGGAGCCCCAAGGTACAGTAGGTGGGCTAACTCATGAAATGTCAACCGAAATTTCGAAATGCGTTTTCGTTTCAAAAAACTTGATCAAGTATAGTCATAAACCTGATCGTCATGCAGTGGGATTACATAATAATTCAGCTCCCTCAGGATTACCTGCTTTCGAATGAACTTCTTTCTGACCGCATGCGAGAACTATACTCTGTAAAAAATGACTACTTAAGTAGCATTCATTTTATCATCAGTTTTCAATACCCCAAAAAATTAGTCAGATCCCATGGGAAACATTAATAAAATGTTAATTCTTTTATTCCAGTGGTAGAAAATTACGTCTTCTTCCAATTTTACACTCAAAGGAAGGGTATAGTTCGGTTTCCAAAGACTTTTCCAATTCCCGAATAATTTTGAACCCGACCTGCCGTTACATTTACAGTCAGGTTTTCCAAACTACGAGCCGTATATTTTCCGCGTGCAGTGAACCATACATTTCTCTACGCTATTAAGAGGAGACCATATTGGGTTCATAAAATTTAGCAGTTGATTCGAGCTATATCTTTACCTTTAGAAGGCACATTGGTAAATGCAGAGTAATGACGCTTTATGAACGGCTATTTCACGGTTTCCTAAAAGCTCACAATTATAGAAGAATTTAAAATCAAATTATGCTCCTTCTTCGAGTAAAAAAAATTGGAAGAAGACGTACTTTCCTATCGAATGAGCAAAAGAGTAAATATTTTTATGCATGCTTTCGATGAAATGTAGTTGAATTTTTAAGGGCATCGAAGATCAACGGGAAAAATTTATGCTACTTAAGTAGTCATTTATTGCAGAGTATGTTTTTCACATGCAGCCGCAAAGAAGTTCTTTCGAAAACAGGCAATCCTGAGGTAACTGAATTATTATAGAATATAGGCGCAGTGCAACTGTAAACTCACCGTACCTGCCCCCACCATTCCGTGGAGCACAGAGTGGACATCTTCGTTAGTGACTGTCGGACCGTCGGGTAAGACGTCCGATTTCGACAAGGGAAGCGGACGATTTAATTTTTGGTCGACGATGACAAGCTCCACCGCGGACATAGCTCAATCAAACTGCATATTTTCAGATGCTCGAACATCCCGGAGGCCCTTAAGTTTAGTTTTAGTGGTAACGTCGGCATATCAACTGCTGCAGTCACCAACGATTCATCGTGCAGTTGCTTTTTTAGCAGCACACTCAGAATCTCTCTAAGTCACGGAATATGCGGATGAGAGAGTAATGCACTCGTCGAAAGTTTGCGCCAATATACGCCCAAATGTTGCCTACTGTTCCGACCACAAGCCAACACGGACAAACGTGGTTCCGAGTGTCTGCACTAAGTAAATTCTATTCCTACATGTTATGCCGATTCAGCTGTCCAACGATTTTGAGTCTATCTTTGCAAACCTTGTGTTTCAAGTGGCCGCAGAGGAAGAAACCAAAGGTAGTAAGATGATAGTACTGAGGTGGCCGCTCCACTAACAATTCGCCGTGGAGACAGTGACGCACGACACGTGGGTGATGTGGGGTGGTACGTTTCCACTAAAACAGAATATCGTCAAGCTATTCAAGAATGTCTGCCAATAGAGCCACTTGCTGAAACAGTTGATGATAAAACTGGCCTAAATGGGAATAAATAATATGGACTTTGGGGGCAGTTCCACCAGGGGCACCCTGGGTAAAACTGGCCGAATACTTTGGTACCTATAACGTCAGCACCAGTCATGAACTTTGGACGGTTCTGCCTTTGCCTAGGAGCAAAATGGCGCAGGTTACCAAACATCACAAAGAAAGGTTGGTAGGGCCCGGTTATAAGTGACCATGTATTAGAGGTGGCCTTGCGCTAATTTCCGGTGGGGGGGGGGTAGGTTAGGGATGGGGTCAGTGCTAGGGTTACGGTTCGGGTTATAGCCGGACCGGAGAATCGGTACCTTTCCTGGAACGCAGTGCGAGACTACCTGTAGTTTGGAGGGGGTTCTTATACCCGTATCCGGCCGAAAGGTCACTCAAACGCCTCTTCCGTTGATTGTAAGCCTTGAAAGTGCTGCCTTCCCTAAATAAATCGCCTAAGTTCCGTAGTCTTTGCACAAGGTCATAAGCCCTAACTTTGTCACCCGAAGTACATGATCTGTCATTCGAAAATTTCTAAAAGTTTCGGGCCAATTTGCGAATTCAGCGATGAGCGAATGATCGCCTGTCCATATTTCTGGAATAGGACATTCATGCAACCTCACCTGGGGTTTCCTTACATGCTACCTAAAGAACTCCAATTAAATCCCTTCTCCAATTGTTACTTTCGCCGCCTTCAGCTCCTCCGCCATCATCGTCTCCATTTTGGTACTCTAGGCAAGTGTTTCTACGAGGCTGGGCACGAACAACCGGCCGTTCGCGCGGTCGTCTAGCTAAAAGCAATCCACTTTATCGATCCATGTCGCAGGTCTTTGGTGCTCCACTTGTCCTCGTTAGTGGACGGACGGTTGCCGAGAGGACCGAAGCCGCGTGAGCACATGAGCCCTTGATGCATATAGTCGTCTCTTAGGGAAAGGGTCTGGGTGCTACACCATGCCCTCAATCTCCAACCACTTGCTGGAGCCCATTTTCAAAGGTAGACCGAAATGCATGCTTACCTCCGTCAGGAACTATCCTCCAATGCGCTATTGGGTCGTTCTCGTAGTACCTAGGTCGCTTGGGGGACGGATCAATAGCTCGATGGAGTCAGTAGTCGTTTGGAAGCCCACATTCTACAGTTTGCGCAAAATAGAGTCATCCGACTGGCTAAACAAGTGTCGCTTCGTCAAAAGCTAAGTCGAATCCCGGGGAAGAGGAGGAGAAGTAGGCAGTGACCATTAGGGACACTTTATATTCGTCTGACAGCAATCTTGTTTCTTCCGGAACTACTTATCGATCCTGCCAGCATATTTGACTTTGTCGTTAATGCATTGCATATGATAAATGACACCGGACATTGACAACAGAAAGCCTGGATTTCTGAGCAACTGGCCTGAGTGCTACTCTAACTCCCAGTCTACTTATCCCTTTTGCGAGTTCTTCGGACACAACAGCAGCATATAGCACTATGCACCAGCACAGCTGTCTGGACTTCGTTTTCTTGCTGAACTTTCGTTGGACTTTGTTCATACCTCTTGCCTGTGAAGAAAATTCGAAAATAATGTACCCTGACCCTAGTGGAGTCCAGCTCATTAAGATAGTTTTTATGTAAGTGCATTTATATCGAACTAGTTGGTTGCTGTTGGGACCCAGAATACGAGAGATGTTGGTCATCTTCCTGTGAACTGTTATTTCAAGTCCTCTACCAGTTGTACTATGGGGTAGAACGTTTAAGAATGATAACTGACCGTCGCTCACCTCCTGAAATGAGAACTGGATGTCTGGAAAAACAGTCAGTATACTGAGTGAAGTCACAGCCGAATGCCATATGGTGGCGACGAATTTGCCACTTACAAACCTCGTTCCCAAGTTTGATCGGTAGTGGTCGAAAACCAGGGTTTATGTGAGTCACCACCACTCTAACGTGTCCCTGGCACGTCAAACTTGAATAAAATCTTCAAGTGTTCAAGAAGACCAACGAGTTGCCTAATTTTTTTTATTTTGCAGTACACTTCGACGCAAGGTCCTTTCAGCAGGGGTTGCATGGTCTCAACCGAAAGATATTGCGGGATCGAGGTGCAGAGTGACATTCCATCGGAAGACACCATTACCTCGTTACTCGCATGTAGAAATGTAAGCAGCGTTTGCCAGAAGTGTCCAACTGGGTGGACTAGTTTGCGGTAGACTTGGGTTAGAAAAGAAGAGCACGAAAACAACAATCTGACCGCATCAAATTTTGGGGTTTCGCTCAGGAGGACAGTCAGTCACAGTAGTGCTGCTAGGTCGTGAATCATCGCGTAGCCATCAGATATCGTAATTGCGGCATTCTTAGGTCCCCTTTCAACCCAGTCAGGTTTTGCTACTTCCCTTGTTTTACGAAACCCTTTCAGGCCTCTTTTGAGGTTGTTTGCAAATGTCCCCGCTGGATTATATACGTGGGGGAATGCACGCACTTTGCTAGCCGAGAGGTCTCTTGACCTTATGGGCGACATCCACACTGCCTAACACATGTCCCCGCCGATGGGCTACGCTACGGATGCGTTGGCCCAGGACGGAGGTCTAGTGACCAGTGTTTATTGTTCGGGAAGAGTTTGCGCGAGGCCAGCACTACTGTGGAACACGTGTACAGTGATGCGCATTAGACACAGGTCTCTCCTCCGTGTCATTCACTGCGACCAAACCCACCACCAACTGAGAGAGAGGGGCTCGCGCAGTCGGCTGGCTCATGCGGTAGGGAAGAGAGTGAAACCGACCCTGGGGACTGAATCCTCAAGGCACATCAGGGCATTATTCACTATGAAAATCTGACCTGTTTGAGGCTATCACGACGCACTAATGATCGTGGCTGGGAGGGCTGCTAACTGGCTGGCTTACTCGGTTCGTACCCTCAACTGATGCGACCCCCATCGCACTCTCACGCACGTGAAATCCCAGCCGTGTTCGTGAAAGCTTGGTGCGTGCAGCAGTGCCCCCCAAACGGGCCACGTGGTAGATGCGTTGGACCAACGCGGGGGCCAAATCGGATTCTTGCAGGCGTTATAGGCAATGCGTACCCTATAAAAAATGGCAACATTTCTGGGTGCGGTAGTAGACCTGGTTGTCGGCGTACGTCGCGCACTCTGGGACCCCTGCCGTTCCGCCATTTTCGTTGGTCAAAAACCTGATTGTTTGGTTGCGTGTACCAGGATATGCGGAGTGGAACGCCAAGGTGCGGGCTCGACCATGTCATCCACCGGCGCCATCCTTCGTCTCCGGTTTTCTTGGCTCTGTCTTGACAGCGGGTCCAGGTGGGGAGTGGGGAAGAGAGAGTGTGGTAGATGCTGCGCAAGTCTACTATCATTATAAACGAGAGTTCGCAGGAGACGCCGCCCCTGCTCTCACCCTGCTGTGGAGCATACGGTAGAAATCGTCGAACGTGCAGTGGGGAGCAAGTGTGGCAGGCATTGACGAACTGTTGAGTTTTGCCGGTCACTGCGCCTGATCTCGTCTCCGGTCTCCCTGACTGCAGTAAGCAACCGCCAGCTACTGCCCCCGAAGCAGATGGATAATCGGCTCGTGCAGTGGACTACTGTCTAGGAGAGTGGGTTCAACTTCGGGAACATCATCCCTAGGGCACTCTGCGCATATTCGTCGCTATAAGCAATCTGACCTGCTTTAAAAATGTCACGGTGCGCTAAAGCTCGTGAATCGGTAGGCTACTAACTGACGGGATAACTCGACCCTCCTCTCAGGACGGAGGGCCAGGCCGCAGCGGCTCCTTCTTAATGCTGTCTCTGTCGCTCTTCTATTTGGCTGGGATTCTATCCGCTCCTCTGATGCTTTGGTGAAACCCTCGTCCCTTGTGCGCGAGTCAGGTGTGCGGCACGTACAGATAGGGTGTTGACCTTTGTCAGCCGTTCCCTGGTCTTCTTGATTCTGTCTTACCACCGGGCCAAGGTGGATGAGGGAAATGGGAGTTCGGTATATGCAACGGATGTTTATTATCTTTATAGGGGCAAGTCACCACCCCTGTGACCAGTTCGTGAGACACGCTGTGGACAGTCTCCTTTTCGTCAAACACACTTTTTGAACGTCCTGTGTCGACTAGATGTAGAAGAATGCTTTCAGCAGCCTGACGACATCTTTCGAAGTGTATGGACAACCGGTTTGGTGGATATTCCCCGCAGAATTGAAGTGGTCTTCTTTTTCGACCTGATGCTGACGTCACCGTAGCTGCAATGAAGCCGTCCGGTTCAAAAGAGAGATTGAGAACAACACTGGGACAGTGATGGTTGAACTTACCTCCGTCCACCCTGGCGTCATTTGTCTTGTACTGCAGATGACGCAAGATGCCCCCGTCTGCCGATGTGGTAAAAGTCAAGCGGTTGTCGGGACACGTCCTTTATGCTGATTGGCGGTATTTGAACTGAAGATGGAGGTTCAGTTTACCCTTGTGCCTCGGGTTCAGGACACACGCGAGCGGTCGGATAGAGTCGAGCAATCAATAATCGGGTAGCGTAGTCGATAATGATGATGTGCACTGATGCTTATGCCTTTGGCCAGGGCCAGTCCTTGGCGAGTAGCTCGGATTTGCGGGCTTGTGAGCAGCTAGTGATTTGATTGGTTGGCGGGGCACGACCGGAACGAGTGCATCAGCCCTTCTCTCTTGTCCCATTGGGCGTTTTGGAAGGCCGTAGGCGAAGGATGGCGGACCTGCGCAGGGGGCTGTCCAACTGCAAGTATACGGGGCTCAGAGTGGTCAGGAAGGTAAGAGATCACTTGGACTGCCTTTTATCGCCATAACCCCCCTGATTAACAGGGTCGTGCAGTGAAGTAGCAGAAGCAACCAATGAAGCCAGTGTTAACTGAGTTGAGCTCAACAGTGTGTACATGAGCATCCAAGTCTTCATTATCAGTTACACGCAACCGGCCAAAAATCCAGCAATCAGGGAGGGGGGGAGGATGACCGATGATTTATGATAATTGCTGGACGGAATGTGGACACCAGGCTTTGCTGAGGGGTGGCGGCCCAGAGCACAAGTAATCAACTACACAGCGACACACACCCAATAAGCAAACAGTACTGTAGTATTCGAGGCCGGAACTCGGGCTCCTTGATGGTCCGTCTGAAAGCTCTGCCATAGGGCCACGGGCTCAACCTCGTTGGATGAGATCGGGGATATCTAGGGAAGTGACGTCCGCCAATCGGTACCAGTTGCAGTGTGATCTATGGGTGTTCATTTTCGCCTCTCGGGCCTAAAGCATTTGCAGAGTCATAATAAATATTTATCCCAACTTCCCCCGCTCTTGCCAGCTCTTCCCCTGCTGTGCTGGTTGTCTGTCACTATGTGCTCATCTGCGGGAGATCCAGGCGGAAGTTTAAAATTGACTCGGAAATAGTGTGCATAGGTAGTACAGTATACCGTACTTATCAGTATAGGTACTAGTCAAAAGCCCAGACACGTGCTCCGCCGATGTTCTGCCGCTGCATGATGCAACTGTAAGGAGTTTGATTCACCCGTGGACCCCCAGCGTTCTCCGTGTGCGTTTCTGGTAGATACTCCAGTTGTGGAGTTGCGGTTGAAAGAGCATGTTCGGCCCAAAACAGGGACTGTGATGCTCCACTCCGAAGTGACTGCCATCATGTCTGCGCGGTCTACATACAAGCACTACAATACACTTGTCATTCAGTAGTGTCCAGAAGTCGTCAGTTTGCTGCATGAAATCCAGGTGCTTGTATTTGGGGGGCGAGGTCGTGCATGTAGCACACGCAAACAAGGTCACTAGACATGTCAGCCACCGCGCCCCTTCTCTGCACCTGTCAATTGACCGGCTCGGACAGTGGTTAGGGCCTGAAAAGAGAAGGGATAGCGAGGTCGACGACTCAGTGCATTTTCGTCACTATAAACAATCTGACGCACTTGAAGCTATCACAGTACGCTAAAAGCCGTAGCAGGAATGGTTTCCAACTGAAGGGATAACTTGGACCTCGCATTCGGCCTAGTCTATGAGTATAGGCTGCAATGGCTCCTTCTTAATGTGGCCTTTATTGGCATTCCCACTCCGTGGTATCCGAGCCAAGCGTGACGGCATGTCTGGGTGCCTGGCCGCGCCAGCCCCTTTTGTTGTTGTTGGTTAAAATCCTGGTCATTTGCTGTGAGGACCAGGGGGTGTGGAGGGGAGCGCCAAGGCGCCAAAACCCCTAGGGAACTGTGCTTGTGGTTACTGCTGTGCCTCCCAAACGGGCCACATGCGTTAGATCAACATGGGGGCCATATCGGACTCTGCCAGGCGTTATTGGATGCCATCAGTTTGGGGTTGAGGTGGCAAACCCAGTTGCCAACGTACGTCGAGCACTTTGGGGCCCTGCCGTCCCTCTCATTTTTGTTTTTGGTGAAATCCTGGACATTTGCTGCGTGGACCAAGGGGTGTGGAGTGGAGCGCCAAGGCGTGGGCTCGACCGTGCCATGCACCTGCGTCCTCCACCACCTCCGGTCTTCCTTACTCTGTCTTGGATCCGGGTCCGGGTGGGGGGTGGGGAGGAGAGGGTGCGGTAGATGTTGTGAAAGTCTACATGCACTATAAACTAAATCACGCGCAAATCATCTTGCCTGGCCCCACCTCGCTGTGAAGCATCCGGTGGACATCGTCGGTAACGACGGCCGAATTTTGAGGTGTGTGTATGTGGGCGTAGGTCAAGATGGCTTGAGAGAACCGCTGGACAACCGTCAGCCACGCACAAGACTACTATCAGGCTAACCGTTCGGGCTAGCCCTGGGTGACTGCTACTGTCGTCCCGACCTGAGTTTGAAACCCCAACCTGGTTGATTATCGAGCACTTGAGCCTAGAGCTTTATCATCTGAATCATTGCCTTACGTACTGCCGGTCGTGACCTGAAATGCAACAGGCTGGTTTTAATTAATAAGCCACATATGGTCATTAACGTCATCGGTAAGGATTGCGTACGTGGGCCCAATTAGACTTTATTCTTAGGATATTCCTACTTATCTCATTTATGTGAGTATGTCATGTGGGCGTCACCGTTATGGTTCAACTCACAAATAGGGTTGCCGTTAATGTTAAACTTGGGGTTAGATGAAAATTAAGGTTTGGGAATGGGCCAGGACCAAGTTTGCCTGCCTCAAGCCGTCTTACCGAATCCGGCCATCGTTAATTGATACCCAGGGTTTGCTTGTTTTCCATCAGTTCACGTGCTTTTAATTCACGTCATTCAAATCGTTTGGTCTGCTCTGACACTTTGTTTGAGTAATAAGACTTCATACGGCGGGAATGTGGTTCTTCTCTATGTCTTCCACAAATTCACTTAATCACCGCGTCCGTACACACTATAGATAAAACCAGTATTTTCATCCCCCCTGTTTTACAGGAGTCCCTGTGTTTCATTTTTTACCTGAGGCCACATACCCTGCCACTGCCCACCCATCCTGGTTTTTGTCAATAAAAATTTCAGAAATGACACTTTTTCATCCAGAAAAATTTATTTGCGCGTTTCCTTGAGGTTCTTTTCTCGTTTTTACTTATCCATCCAGTTGTGCAGTCGGAGAACTGCTCCCAGCGTCGTCAGTCCCCCAACGAGGATCTCCTTACACAACGCTTCCTTGCCAACATCCGGGAGCGTCAGAGAACCCAGTCGCTGAATCAGGCTTTTGCCGATCTGCGGCACATCATTCCCACCCTGCCCTCGGACAAACTGAGCAAGATTCAGACCCTAAAGTTGGCCACGAGGTGAGTGGGCTGAGGAAGGAATAGGCTTAAGGGTGAAGTAAACTGTCAAAATACGATGGGTCCAGCACGATAAGCCTCCTAAATCAAAAGTCAGGATGGCTTCCTTAGTAAGAAAATCTTTACTGACGACGGCAGAGTAGAAAAAACCGGAGAAAGCAGCGACAGCGATGGTTCAGATAGGTCGACAATCCACCTGGAGGTCTGAGCGTGCGCCTGAGAGCCCCCTAAAACAGTCCATGCGGGAGTTGTGCTGGGACAAGAGGGGAGGGGGGGGTGGGCAGGTCAGGGTACTGCGTGCTTTATTGGGCTGTGCACACATAATAAATGCCATAAATGGGGATTGTGTGTTGGCACGACAAGATGGGGGCTCACGCCGTGCTAGCCACCTGCAGCCGAGTCCACCTCCATTCTCTCTGACTCTGTCTTGACGCCGGGTTCAGGTGAGTGAGGAAGACAGAGTACGGTAGGTGTTGCACAAGTATTTCGTCATTGTAGATCAATTCACCCGCAAGCCATCGTCCCTGCATCTACCCCCCTCTGGGGCCCACGGTGGACATCGTCGGCAAGGTTGTTCGAACTGCCGCCATGTCTGGATGTGGCCAGTCATTGAAGATCTGAATTATGATAGGTGACACGATGTCGGCAGAACAAGGGCTGAGTCATACGCGTCATGAGCAGTCAGCTGGTGGGGGGGGGAAGAGTTCGGTTTCCGTCGCCACGTTGGATAGACCATCACAAGATGGATGGTAGGGGGGTAAGGTTTGAATGTTGTTACTTTCTCGTCTAAACTGACGCATTTTTGAATCAAAATGCAACGTCTGATGAGAAATGGATGCAATGCGATAGGCGCAAACTTTCGAAACAACGGTTGGACAAGGACGAGCCACCAGAACACAACTCAAAGCGCGATATTGATCAAAAGAAGCTGGTGGTGAGTGCTAAATGGTCTGGCGCAGGTACTATCCATTATGATAGGCAAAACCTAAATCAGCGATCACGGTAGCTGCATACTGCAACCAGCTGGACCAAGTGATCCAAACACTTGCAGAAAAACAGCCTGTAATGGTCAACGGATCGACTTTTATTCTATTGCGCAGCAGCGTTAAACCGCACGGTGGCAAAACTACAGGACTTGGAGTTCTCCAATTTACATCATAATCATCAGATTTTGTTCCCACTGACGGTCACTTTTCCGGAAGCCGGCTAAATTTTTTTTATAGGGAAAGCAATTTAATTCTGTCGCTGCCTGAAAAGAGACCTTCCGAGATTAAATGGACTTTCGATTGCTAGGCTTCTATACCGCCAAACTGAACAAGCAACCACTGAAATGACAGATATGCATTGGCAGTATGGGTGCTTACTTTGATGAATAAAACTATTCCCAGCATTTATTAAACACTAATAAACATTGTTTTTTCTTCTACAAATTTCTTGCGCATGATTCAGGAGGTATATATGTCCGTATCCGACCGGGTTAGAAGGGTTAAGGCTAGGACTAAGATTGGCATTATATCGCGGGGATGTGTGCCCCTGGAATTAAGAGCAACGCCACCGGTAGTACTGGGGGTTCATATTCCCGTGGGCGATCCCTAACACAAACGTCAACCTTAACACTTTTCCCAACCCTTAGCCTGTGTCAACCCCGTCCCCCCGTGCATTTTAAGGCAGGGTCACCTGCAATACGGGGTCCATATGTCGATACCCAACCCAGTACGCTTCAAGGATCGTAAGGTCTCTTCAGCGAGATATCAGGCGGCGTATACTCTTCCTTCTCTAAAGCACACAGCATGGAGTTTGGAGATCTCTATGTCAGGTGGACGGTCAGATGGCGCTTGTAAAATAGATGTGTTAGAAAAGCAAATCTATTTCTCAATTTCAATCGCCAGCCGTCAAGATGACTTATTTGTTCAAAGGTTAAGGTGAATAATGCAGGGCTTTTGGAAACAGAAACTGATGGTAGCTTCAACATATTACTTAATTAATGAGTGCTGCCCTGGTGTTGGTAAGAATACCATTGGAATGTTTCCACTCAAAGGCCAGTCTGGGACTGCGCATGAATTATTTGGCAGGCAAATCAGTATCGCAACGTTTTTGAAGTAATCACTTCTGTTTCAAAGAATATTTAAGAGCTTTGATCAGCAACCAAGAAGTCTTTCCTACAAAGCTGGTTCTGGCTTATTAACATATATTTCCACGATTTATATGCATACATATATGTACACACATATTCGTATGTATTTGCGTTACTTATCTTTTAGGTACATTGATTTCCTCTCAAACGTTCTTCAGGAATCACCAAAACCCTCGACCAAAGTCATCTCAACAGCTTACTCATGTTCCGGGGTCGAGACTCCTACGTCCTGGTCATCCACAGACTATGAAGCGAAACGACTCCAACTGGGAGTTGGACGCGATCTAACACTCAGCTCTCAGGGACTCCAGCATGCCCGTGACGAATCCGACACCTCCATGAGATCAGTTCTAAATTCGGTGAACCCAGTGGATGCAAAACGAGCTGATTATCCTGACATCACAGATGACGCCTACCTTTCTCCAGCCTCGGGGCTGCAGATGTTGCAACCACAACCTCGGTTAAAGAATGAACCCGGTGCAAGTCGTTCCGAACTCAGTTATGCATTCTCTGTCTGGAGAATGGAGGACGCATGCACTTTCGGTGGTGCTGTTTTCCCTTGAACTCATCTGCCAAGCAAGGCTCTAACTCAGTGACTAGTTTCCTTACATGTCGTATAATGTTGGTGTTGTCATCAGCAATACTTCACGCACATTGTGTATCAGTGTCGCACATACATCCAAACGGTGATGTCTGCTCTGATTTGTAAGTCGTTGTAGTCGTGGACGTGACGTCGAGTGGGCAGGGGCTCCGGTTGTACGTACACAGTTAGACAAACTAGTGAACCGAGCCTCTGTGGGACGAAAATCAAGTCGGGCAGGGGAATGGAGACTCTACCTTCTCGGTTCTACATGTGGCCTCGCGGCAAATTCTAGGCGGTTAATATTTCCGAATTATAAATTTAGCCCTAACACTAACCGTAACATAAAATCCAAGTCTGGCCCTGACCCTGACATTGGTCCGCGTAAGCCTCATCCTGAACCCATCTTTCAGTTCGGTTTATTTCAGTTTATTTGATAAGGATGATAGGCAAAGCCTTTGAAAACCCTATTGACTACATGTCAACTCGTTAGAAATAACTGTCCACGAACAATGAAAACATTCGCTATATAACTAGTACTTGATTCATTTGAGTAGCATTGTCATAGAGACAAAATATGTGGGGAACCGGGGTATTTAGCTCGGATTCAGACTGTCGAGGGAAAACAGGGGACACAAATAATCATCCAAGCGTTTCTTGAAGAGTCCTTACCCTAATTCTAAACAGCCCTAAAATTTAAGGCAAGGCCAACTATTATATCAAGGTCCATGTCTCTGTGCCCGGCCAAAACTCACTTATGCTCCAATTTATAGTCAGTAAGTCAGTGAAAACAAAGTGGGGACAGAAAATAAGCGCTAGGATGTCTGGAAGACAAAAATATCTTACTTTTATGTGGAGTTCGCGACCCTCACTGGCCTAGAGAATCTCAAAGGAGCCCTGGTGAGATTATTGGCGAAATATGCTTATGCAGCCCACCTGAAGTAACCAAACCCCAGTCGCCAGTAATACGGGACCGGTTGTAATAGGGGTTTTTACAGGTGAGGTCGGGAGAACGCACAGGCAACGAGGTCAAGTGACTTTACGCAAAAGAATAGCTATTGGGAGTGTGCAGTTGTACTTTGGATGGTTGAGAAATAGTTGCCATAGCCTCCTACTCTAACCCCAACCGCAACAATAATGTGTCCATCAAATGGGAATACATAACCACATCTTACTGACGCGCGCGCGCTTCGAATTTGGTCTCAAATTTTCGTCCTCTCTCGGAATTTAGTTTCTTCGGGAATTCGACTTACTGTACGCTCTTAGAGCCTCAATTAAAATGGAATTAAGACCTAAACTCGACTCATCAACATCTTCCTCCCAACTAGTCTTCTGCAGCACATTCCCAGTACTCCGATTTCGGCCGTGCTCGTTTCTACAACTTGCAAGCCCAGACAGACGGATTATCTGCAGAACAATACATCCGAAGCTTCTACAAAGGCTGAGTTGCTTTTCCACTAAGACATTGTTTTATCATCGTCTCAAAGTATTTGTCTAAATTTCTGCCCTCGGAAGCTTCTCGACAATACCATATGAAGTTACTTTCTACCGAAAGATCGTCATAAAAGCCTTCTCTTCATACTTAAGCCTGCGCTCTTTGTGTATATAGAAAAGTTATCCAGAATGTTGGAGTCCGCACCAGTTTCAAAGTAACGCGCGCTCGGGGTTCGAACGGGGGACCTCAGAAGTTAGAGCCAGCTCCGCTAACCCCTGCACTATCGCCGCACGACCGGAGCACACAGCTAAAAGCTTTGTTAATTTGTCACCACAGGATATGGTAGGATATTCATGTAATGGTTGTCAAACGATAGCCTACAAGATGCATCAACTAGAGAAAGAAGTAAGAAATCTGAAGGAACTCATACACAAGACTGTTTCTTCAGAGGACCGCCCGGTGTTATCTACGCAGAGGCTAACTCGGAGTAGAGCGAGAGCAATCCAGTGTAAAGAATCCCCAGAAAGCAATCATGTGGTGAATAAGACAACTGCTATTAGTAGGCAACTAGTGGCATCCGATGAAAAAAAGAATAAGAGGAAGACTACACCTAACACCACGGGGAAAAGTCGCCAGAATACGAAAGAGAGCATATCGGTCTTGTCCGAAAAGCAGTTGAAAAACGAAACGACTGTAAATGTGCCAGCAGAAGAAGTGAAAGGAAAGGAGCAGTTGACGCCTAACCGTAGAAATCCCCAGACAATGTGCTCATTTACGGAGCCTAACTTAGAGGGCTTATCAATTAGCGCAATGACATATGGTTATGGACCCACGATGGAATTAGCTGCCACCGCGAATTCCCATGTCAACAGAGTTGATAACCGAGCCGGGGAAGCTTCTAATTCATGGGGGTCAAGCTCTCTTCAGAGCCCTCTGATGGGAGGCAGTGCCGATCAACCACATCGTGCAACTATTCATGATGCCTCAACAAGATCCGCGGACGAACTTCACGGGGACATAAATACCAATATGACGGCCCCTTCCTTTTCGCCAGTCCACTTCGACGAGGGGAAAGGACCGGTCAACGACGTCCAAACCGCAGAACACAGAGGAATGCTTAACAAGGATCACTGCGTCATAATTCAGGGCCTCCCAGAGTCCTCCGTCAGTACCCCCAGGGAACGAGTCGCTGCTGACTTAGAGCAATTCCAGAAACTCCTAAATGAAATGCTGCAACCAACAGAAGATGTCACAGTCCTAAAGACGTTTCGTCTTGGTAGCCGTACAACCGCCGCTCCACAGACACGACCAAGACCCCTGAAACTTGTCCTAGGTAGCAATGAGCAGACGAAACTAATCCTTTCCAGACGTTTTCGACTGAAACATTCCCATAAAGGAGTGTTTTTTTCAGCCGGACTACTCACCTGCCGAGAGAATGAAACGCCGCGAACTTGTCCTAGAATTGAGAACGCGACAAACCAACGAAGAAAAAGACTTGAAAATCTACAACGACCGGATAGTCAAACGACATCCCGCCCCCCTCTGGATCAAGCCGATCCGAAGGACCGCACAGATACCACGGTAGCCTGTGTCGGGGTTGATAAAAAATCACGCATGAACTCGAAACTCATATTCATGTACACCAACGCGCAAAGTGTACTTTCTAAACTGGATGAACTTCGTATCCTGACCCATGACCTCCACCCAGACGTTATCTCAATAACAGAAACATGCCTGTCCGAACAGATTGATGACAGAGAACTCATGCTCCCTGGATTTCAACTGTTCCGCAAAGACAGACAAAACAGGAGGGGTGGAGGCATAGTAACATTTGTTAAAAATGGTTTATACGTTTCAGAAAAAACTGCCCAATTGACTTGCAGTACGGAAGCGTTGTGGCTGACCATAAGGGCACCGGGCTATCAAAGCCTCGATATCTTGACAGTATATCGCCCCCCGAGGAATGACCCTGACGCTGATGCCCAACTGCTGGAGGAGCTTAGGCTATTTTCAACGCGACCGACTACTCTCATCCTTGGAGATTTTAATGCACCTCACATAAACTGGAGCTCGGCCTCAGCCGACTGCTCTGAAGCAGCATTCGACCAGCAGTTACTGCGTACCTCCGACAATCTGCTTCTAACCCAACACGTAATGTTTCCAACGAGAGTTCGAGAGGGCCAGCAAATGAATTGCCTTGATCTGGTGTTCACCAAGTACTCTGACAATATCGACGTGGTGAATTGCCTCCCCCCGTTGAGTCAGAGTGACCATGTAGTTCTCATGTGGGAATACACCTTATTCTCCCTGCCTGCACAACCGCTCGATACCCGACCCAATATTTGGCGCGGAGATTTCGAACAGATGAGAAGGGAGCTAAGTCCTATCGACTGGGCATCCACTCTATCCGGCGATGTCGAAGAGGATTGGTGTCAGTTCAAAGAGTTAGTCCACAACCTCATCTCCAACCACTGCCCAATCATGCGCAGAAGACTAACAAATAGACCCCGCTGGCTGACTCCGTCCTTAAAGAAGGAGGTTAACAAGAAGAGGAAGCTGTGGAAAAGATCCCTGACTGACCAGACGCCAGAATTCCTATGCATCGCTAGATATAGGAAAGCCTTTGAAAAGGATCTTCTGAACCGTGCCAGGGTTAATCCCAAAGTCCTCTACAGCTACACAAGACAGAGCACGCGGAACAAAGACCCCATCCCACTGCTGCGAACAGCCGCGGTAATGGAAATCTCCGATGACAAGTGAACCTGCTTTTCTCTCCCCCATTTGTGAAGACGAAGAAAAGCCTACCCTTGAAGCCGTATTCTTCACCGAAGCAATTGTTCGGAACGAGTTACTTAATCTAAAACAATCGACCTCCCCAGGCCCCGATGCAATCCCCGCCAAGCTGCTGAAGGAGCTAGCTCCCGAAATGTCCAAGCCATTAGCCTTGATCTTCCAAACATCATTTCTTACTGGATGCCTGCCCTCTGACTGGAAGTCCGCTACCATCACTCCGCTTTTTAAGAGCGGAAGTCATGCGTCTGCGAATAACTACAGACCAGTGAGTCTTATCTCCATCTGTTTCAAAATCATGGAGAAGATCATTAAGAAGGCCTTCGTGCAGTTCCTCGAGCAGCACCATCTCCTTTCCGATGCCCAACACGGCTTTCGAAGTGGTAGCCCCTGCCTCACGAATCTGCTCTTTACGCTTGAACGCTGGACCAAAGCAAGTGATGAAGGCAATGTGGTGCACGCCATCTACATCGACTTCAAAAAGGCCTTCGACAGCGTTCCCTACCAACGTCTCTTGCACAAACTGCGCAACGCTGCAATTCGTGGACGCCTTCTTGTATGGATCCAGAGCTTTTTGGCTGGACGGTCCCAAAGAGTGAAGGTCGGGCGTCAACAGTCCTCAGAGGTAAGCGTGGTGAGTGGCGTCCCACAGGGCTCAGTTCTTGGTCCCACGTTATTCCTCGTTTTCATAAATGACTGCGTCAAGGACTTAGACTGTGATACCATCCTGTTTGCCGACGACATTAAATTGTGGAAAGTTATCCACAATGCGACAGACGCAGACCACCTGCAAGCAAACCTGAACAGGCTCGAAGACAGGTCAAAGCGCTGGCTTATGCCCTTCAATATAAGCAAGTGCAACTTTCTTCAACTAGGCAGCTTCAGAGCCTCCAGCCCCAGGACTTACTTCCTAGAGGGCACACCCCTGCAACAGGTTGAGAGTCAGAGGGACTTGGGTGTATGGATTACATCTTCACTCAAACCAACACTGCACTGCGCGAAGGCGGCTAAATCGGCTATGGCTACACTGCAACTCATTAAGCGAGCATTTATGGAATTTGATCCAGACAGCTTTTTAAAAATATTTGGCACCTACGTGAGGCCTCATCTAGAATACGCCATACAGGCCTGGAGACCTTGGACTGCCAAGGACTATACCGTTTTGGAGAAGGTCCAGAGACGGGCGACCAAAATGACACAAGGTCTGGGAGCGCCGCCTTACGAATCTCGACTGTCAACTCTCCACCTGTTTCCACTTTCCTATAGGCAATTACGTGGTGACCTTATACTTGCATTTCGCATTATCAACGGCCTAGACTGTTGTTTAGATCCCACTGATTATTTCACACAAGCTAACGCGCCCAATTTGCGCGGTCATCCCCTAAAACTACGCGCCTGGAAAGCAAGGATCAATGGAAGAAAGTTCTTTTTCAGTCACAGAGTGGTTGCAGCGTGGAATGCCCTGCCCACCGATGTTGCAACCTCCTCCTGTGTGAAGTCCTTTAAGTTTAGACTTGACGCGCATCAAGCCTCCCAGTTACCAGCCTTGCATCCACTCACATAACCTGGCACCAACTTAAACTTGTTTATACTACTTGTAACTAGTTAGTAACCGTCATTTATTACTCTTTTCGTACTAGCTGTCAACGATTATGTACAAAACCCCTTTTTCGCCTTCCCACTATCAATGTTTCTCTCCGACGACTTGTAACCAATAGGGAGTTCAAAGGCGCTCGCCTATATTTCCCTTAATAAACTGAAACTGAAACTGAAACTTACCTAGTTCCACGATATGTGGTCTGTTAGCATGGGCTTACACAGTTCGTAGCCTAGCGTGAGCGAACAATCGATAGTTGTCAATGTTTAGCAACTCAAAAAATGCTTATTGCGGTCTTCCTTGTGTTCCAGCAGCAACACTCCACGATCATTGGTTGTCACTTCATATGCGACCATCCATGATGCCTGTGGGCCAGTAGGCCAGGTGGGCAGTGGACAACGTTTCAGTGTTCCGTTAGCCACCCTTAGGCAATGGCCTGTCTTCACTGCGAAACCGTACACTGACAACAGTCAAAACGAAGACTTTAGGTGTAAACTGACCTTGGGGATTTTCTAGCTCTCCATGCTGTGGCTGTGAACAAGGCTGGATTTCATAATGGGATGATTCGGCCCATTGGGTGTCAGAAGTTAATTCTAGCAGGCAGGTCGACCGCACTGGCAGGTGTGTGCAAGATTTCACCGGCTGACGCAGGTGGAACTTAACAGCCAACCTTGCCGTTGTCGTTTTCACGCAGCATAACCGGCCTAAGTGGTGAAAGGACGCATTCCATGCGACAAACAGACGACGCAAATTGTTTAGTTCCCAGACACGACTGTTAAACGGTACAGTTCTTAGTCGTGACATGATTTCCAAAGACGATCAAGCCCGCTCATGTGCCTGTACCGTTTCCCTCTTTTCCAAGGAGGATTTAAAGAAAGTAAAGCAGACTCCGGAACTGATGGACCATTAGCGGACAACGAGGGGCTGCGTTTTAGGATGCGGCCACAACCAATGCGGACAAAAATGGCCCGCGATCGGCAAGGATGGGGGCCGTGGATGAGCTAGAGTGAGGAATACGAAGGGGGCGGCTGATAGGGACTCGGTATAAATGCAGGCCTGCCCTGTGTGCATGTTGTTCCAGTCAGCTTGAAAGACTTAACTAACTCAAGGTCTCATTGGTGAAGCCGACAACGGTATGGAGAAGGACCCCACTTAATTGCCAGTAGACTGTGAATTGTGTCATATGGGGTTTTATCTTGACATACATTTACGGGCTGTTGCAGACATTAAACTACCAACAACGATTACTTCCCATGACCTCAAACCTTAACTCAGAATTCGTTATTTTGCGAAATTTAACTTTTCTTTATTTTTTAATTACTACTGTCATTTCCGTTGTCGTACAATAGCGTACGATAGGACTTTCGGCATAAACCCAGGCAATTTTTGTGTTTTCTTACATTTTGCCAGCTTACTGGCTAGCGTGCTACCCCGCCCATAAAACTCCCTTTACCATAAATCCCGTATGGCACGATCCACAGTCTGCTGACAGTCAAGTGGGGTCCTTCTCTATACCGTTGCCATGAAACCTAACTTTAAAAAACTGTAGCCTACCGCTCTGGCGTATTTTTGATGTTGCCTCGCACACTGCAGGTACACGGGGGCTCAGCGTTGTCGTGGAGGTAAGAGACCACTTGGTTTGCCTTTCGTCGTCATAAGCCCCATGCTTAACATTGTCGTGGAATCGATGATGATGGTAGCAGTGAAGTATCAGAAGCAACCCGTGGATCCAGTGTTGAATGAGCTAATCGCCCACAACGGGTACCCAAACATCCAAGTTTTTCTTACCAATAGCGCAAAACCCGCTCAAAAATCCGGTTTATTAAACAAGACAGAAGAGGATGGTAGCAACGGGTGGGAACGACCGCTGATCTAAGGTAACTGCTGGACATGTGAGCTCCCGTCTTTGCCGAGACGCCAGGGCTCAGAGCCAACGTAGGCAATGACATAGAGACAAACATTCGATGGGCAAACATTGCTATAGTTTGGGGGTTGAACATGGGCTCTCTGACGCTCGGTCTGAAAGGTCTGCTATAGGGCCACGTGCTCGACCTTGTTGTGTGGGAGTGGCATCCGTCAGTCAGTAGCAACTGAAGTGTGATCTGAGGCTGCTAATTTTCGTCTTTCGGGCCTAAAGCAATTTCAGAGCCAGACAAATATTTATTCCAACCCTCCGCGTTTTTGCCAGCCCTTCCCCTGTTGTGCTGATTGCCTGTCGTCATGCGTTCATCTGTAGAAGCTTAAGCCGGGACGTAAAGAGCATGCAAACAGTAGGTGGGCTAACTCATGAAATGTCAACCGAAATTCCGAAATGCGCTTTCGTTTCGAAAAGGTTAATTAAGTAACGTTGTAACCTAGTCAGCCTGCAACATATTTCTATAATATTTCAGTTACCTCATGATACCGGCTTTTGAATGCACTTCCTTCCGACTGCATGCACAAACTACACTGTAAAAAATGACTACTTACTTAGCACGCACTTTTCTCCTTGATTTTCGATGCCCCAAAAAGTCCAATTATATTTCAAGATAACATACTCAAAATGTTCATTCCCTTGCTCATTCGGTAGAAAATTACGTCTCCTTTCAATTTTATCCTCAAAGGAGGGACATAATTTGGTATTAAGAAAGTTTCTTATTGTAGGACTTTTAAATACCGTGAACTGGCCGTTGATAAATCATCAGGTCTCTGCATTTACCAATGTCCTTGGTAAAGTTACCAACATGGATCAAATCCACTGCTTAATTTTATGAAAGCCATATGGTCCTCCTTTGCTACCGTCGTGAAATGTGTGGTTTTCATTCGCGGGAAAGATAGAGTTTGTAGTTTGGAATCCATGAATCCAAGTGTAACGGCAGAGCGGGTTCAAAATTATTCGGAAATTGGAAAAGTTTTTGAAAACCGAATTCTACCCCTCTTTCGAGTATAAAATCGAAAGAAGACATAATTATTTACCGAATGAGCAAGGGAATGAACATTTTGAGTATGTTATCTTGAAATATAATTGGACTTTTTGGGGCATCGAAAATCAAGGAGAAAAGTGCGTGCTAAGTAAGTAGTCATTTTTTACAGTGTAGTTTGTGCATGCAGTCGGAAGGAAGTGCATTCAAAAGCCGGTATCATGAGGTAACTGAAATATTATAGAAATATGTTGCAGGCTGACTAGGTTACAACGTTACTTAATTAACCTTTTCGAAACGAAAGCGCATTTCGGAATTTCGGTTGACATTTCATGAGTTAGCCCCCCTAATGTAGGTAGTACGATATACCATACTTGTCAGCACAGCTATTAGCTAAAAGTCTCAACACGTGTCTCATCGATACTCTGCCTCCGCATAACACAACCGCAAAGGGTTCAGCTCATAAATGGATCTCGTAGGGTTCCCCGCGTACGCTTATGGTAGGTACTCCAGTTGTGAAATTACGGTGGAAATGGTATGTCCCATCCCAGAGTGGGGACTGCGATGCACCACTCAAAAGTGACTAACGCCATGACCGCATTGCTTACACGTAATCCTTAAACATATCTCTCATTCAGTAGTGTCCGGAAATAGTCAAATTTATACATCTATAGTTCACTGAATAAAGACTATGAATGGTGTTAGTAGAGCTACGCGCTTGAATATGATTCAGCTTAGGGACAAAAATATTTCAACTACATACCCACATTCATCCCTCTTATTATTACTCATAATGTGGGGAATAGATGAGGATTATAACCATTTTGTGAGGCCTTTTTCGATATTGCTTAACAAATTCTCAAAAGTTACTTCTTGTAACGACTCTCAGGAGGTAAACAAAATATGCTAGTAGATTACACAGGGATTCTTCCTAAATGAACATCGACAAGTACTCCCCCCCGTCAGGTGCAGATCCTAAGCATTTAGCAAATACATTTACTCTAAATCAAATTGCGACATATTGTACACATTTTCGGCATTCCTAGGTACATCTCAGGTAGTTTATGGTTGCAACCTGTTGTGATCAAATCTTCGAGCTTTCACACGCTTCACATCAGTCAGTAGCGAACGACAATGTTCTGATTGGATGTGACGGGAAGTTTGTTTGGACGCGAGGAAGTGATATACCAGGACTACTGAGAGTTCAGTCAATTGATGCAGCGGTTAGGTCTTTTTCTGTAGTCAGGATGGCATTACAAACAAAGACAGGGGAGACTTGAGTGTTGGCTTTCGGCTTATTTGCAAACAGCGGCAAACCACGCTGCAACAAGGTAGGACTGAAGTGGGAATCCGCATTTTATCTGCGATTGAGTCGGATATTTCCGACCTGGGGTTGGCACATCAACCAAAAGTGACTAATCAATCCTTTTTGCAGGTGTTGATTGCATATTTTGGTCATTTATTGGTACTCGTTTCGAAATCAACTGCGAATTCTTTACATCGGAACCTAAGACAAATTGGAAAGCGTGTAGTCTCTCCTGTGACCAGATTAGGTGATTTAATGCCACTACCTCATACCCATATTTTCGCCCGGAACGTGGCTGTTGCGTCCTCTCTGTTCTTAAATTGTTCTCCTAAACCTCATGTTATGATCATAAACTTAACCGTTCACGGCCACACATTTGATATGTGCGAATGATTATCTTTACAACGAGTTGGCTGTCTTTAGCGCAGATTTTTACGAGCTTGGGTGAGGCTGAAGTGAACTGTTTATGCTTTAGGCCGTGAAGTTAATATACAGCTAAAGCGGTCTGTAACGTTGGAGGTTTATTTTGCCTCCCAGAAGTGAGTACGTGGATAACCCGATGTGCTGTGGGAGTTGGACTATCTCCGAGAGGGCTCGTCTATTTAATTAGCTGGAGACATCCCGAGAGAACAGAAAGAAACTAGTACTGAAAAATCAGTCCCGTCTATAGTTTTTTCACTCATTTCAGGCGGTATCGACGAGAATTTTGATCAATGACTCACGACCACCGGTACCGGACGATGATGACTGCGGACTCCGAC